CTATGACTCTCCCATAAACCCCAGGGTCCAAACAGAATCAGTGGCAAAGGCACTGACCCAGACCCAGGTAGTTCTTCCTCACCCTTGTCTCTGCTCGGCTAGCACTCCAGGGAGCAGTGGATGTACAGGAAGAGCGATACCTGCGTCACCAAGGCACCACTGCTTACAAAAGCTCTCTAGACTGGCACACCAAACCCCAAACAATGTTACTATCTGCCCAAATAAATGCTACAAATAGAAATAAACAGGTTATACCACAGCTGTCGCCTTTCTACCCGGTTAACATCAAATATTCCCAAGTCACTAATTAAACGGTGTCCTTGCTCACCTAATCATGTCCTCCAAGACCCAAGGTACGATCTGAGTGGCAGTGACCGATTCTTTACCTTTGAGGCAGACCAATCGCCTGTGAGATTTACACTGAAAAACTCTGACTCTTCTCCGAAGCATTCCCTGCCCCCCGCCGCCCAGGGGGGCTGGATAATGCACAGCTCTTGGTCTGAAAGCTCCAGCAGGGAGAAATGGAGCTGATTTCGTGGTTAAAGCAATCAAGGGCTCTCTTCTCCTAAGGGGGAGGGGGCGGTGGAAGCACCACGTTCGTAGAAGCGCTTTGGATTCCTGAGTCTCTCTCCTGCTCACCAATGCTCTGGCAAAGTCTCCAGTGCACCAACCCTCACTGATGATGGGGAGGGAGCTGATCCTGTGGTCTGTGATCAGAATGAGCTCAGCTCCCCAAACGAAACTACTAGTCCTCACCACAGTGGCCCTTTCCAAATATCGGCAACACTCACCTTAAAGACGCTTTTTATTGACAAGTCCAACTTTTCTTCCTATAAAGGAATCAAGAATATAGTCCTCCAACTTCAAACGAAGATGATGACTCTGCAGACAGGCTGCTGTGTTTTTCTTTCTTTTAAAAACCCCATCTCCTCTACAATTCTAATGTGCTTTCTGGGTCCCTATGCCATGTACCACAGAGTCTAAGTTGACATTGAGGTCACGTGGAAGTTTTCTTCTACACAAGTCCACGCGATGACTTACCCGCTGCAGAACAGAGCTCTGCACCTTCAGCTGTCGCTGCAGAAGGGACAGATGCATTCCTCAGACTGTAGTGGCGACCCGATCCCCACCCTCTCTTTGAAAACAGCATTCCTGAGACATTGATGTTCTCTGGATCCTTCCAGCAGCAGCTGACACTCCTCCAACGCACCCAACACCCAAGGCTGGCTAGTGATCTACATCTTAGGGCATGGGACAGCAGCGACCCCCCCACCCATTAGCAGCTGCTTGAATTGCATCAGCTGTTGGGGTCCAGGCAGTGGGAGGGGCTCAGTAGACAAGTGTGGGGAACTCAGTTTCCCACCAGCCAGAGCCCTGGGGCTCTGATACTTCATTTATTTCATTTCTTCCCCCCAAAGTTCATGGAAACTTGGACCATTTACTGCCACCATGAGGTGGTCTTGGCCTGTATACTTTTCTGAGCTGACCACTATGAAAGGGGAGGACATTTCCCAAATCACAGCATAGGGTGGGCAGGGAACCCTCATTCCCTCCCTCCCTCAATTTTTCTTACAATAGAAATGGTACAATTAAGAATAAGACACCACCGTAGAAATGGCAAAACTAAAAATGGAAAGCATAGCTAAAACTTCAAGACAAGCCTGGAACTATAGGATTTGATCTCTGTCCCTATTCCAGCTCTGAATAGGCAGGTGGAAGAAAAGCCAGGTGGGCACTGGCAGGAGAAAAAGAAAATGTGTTTTTATTCTCATTTCCAGTTCTAGCAGTGGGTGTCCAAACCAGAAACATAGCTGAGTGCTCACATGCGGGGAATGCACCCAGGTAAAAAGCATCACCCACCCTTTGATTAGCATCTCTACACTCTCAGGGGTCTTGTTCTCATACCGCTTACTCTACTGTCTTGATTATTTAATAATCATTGTGTTAATTTCCTATTTGTCATTCCATATTTGTCAAGAAGGTGCCATTTCGGGAGACCAAGCTCGGAGTAAGGGACTACCTCCCTTGCTGCCCTCCACCATCAGCTAAGGGTTTTATAAAGAAGATCTAGGCACCCAAGCATGTCCTGACGAGGTAGAAGGCAGGCCCCCTAGAGGAGCATTTGAGTGCCAGGAGGGATCCCACTGAGGCCACTATTGGGGTCTGCTTTTGCCATTTCTGATAAATACAGCATATTCTCAGGAAGGAAGGGTATGTATTAGAAGGAGAGATCTAGGGGAAAGGGGGTGGGGATTATGTCAGTGAATCTGCCTCAGCTTGAGGATCAGCAGGAGCAGACTGGGAGGAAAAAGAATTGACAGTGTGCTCCCCTAATTTCAACAGAAATAAGCTCCAAACTACCTGATAAAAATCCAGAAACAACCCTTCCCCTTCAAAGATTTTTGATCCACACCAGGGCCTGGTCTAGAATGGGAGAGCTGCTTCTCTCTTCACAATGACAGATGAATAATAAATGCTCCTAGTGAGGAGGAAAAATGATGCAGACTTTCTCCAAAGTTTTGATCACTGGAAATTTTATCCATGACTAAGAGTTACTCCATTTTGCAATTTAAAATTTCTTTTGTCTACTGGAATTAGCTAGTTCCAATGATGGTGAGGTTATGTTAGGACTTTGGAAAGGACATTGACTACTCCAAACTATTAAAAGATACACATCATTACTACAGAGTATCAAAGCAAGAAGTCAAGTAGGTAGGTAAAAACCTTGCCAGCTAGACTTTTCAAAGGTATCATGCGGATAAGCCTATATTAACTTCTGAAAGAAAACAGCTTAAACATAACACCTAACTTCTATCTAATTCTGGTCTAATCAGGCTTAAATGAAAGCCAGAATAATTTTCTTATCCTTAAAAGGTTTCCAAAGTATTAGCCTGATTTTTTTAAACAGTACTAATTTATTATGAATATACTTCTCACAAATGAATGTCATAATAATGGAGTTATTTTTTTCTCCAAAACAAAGATTATCTACCCTCTAAAGCAAAAGGTTATCTACTACTATAGCTAATGTTGCAAATTAAGTAAAAATTTTATTTACCTAGAAAATATCATTTGTCAGGAGAAATATGACACCAAAACTGACCAAAACACCTTTTCTGTGGCTACGAAAGACTAACTGTGATCTCTAACAAGAAACCTATTCCAAGAAAAAACAAAATTAGCAGTAATTGTCCTTCTGGGTAACACAGGAAACTAGGAATAGTATTTCAAACAACCACTTCTTTTTCCTATTTTTTTTTAATGATGTAGAGCAAATTGCTCATCTAATGAAGGGACTCAGTAAATAAACTTACCCGTTACTTTCAACTGCTCTGAAATAGGAAATTTTTCCATTCCAGCAATTGTTCTTCAGAAATTAGGCAAATCTCTTGCTCACATAAGACCCCACAATCTATATGTTTATTGTTAAAATACATGTTTCCGGAGTGGAACACAGGTGCAGTCTAAATCTACATGTATTAATGATGGCCATTCATTTTCACCCACCCACAAAATAAATAAATAAGTAAATAAGTTGGCACGATCGACTTTCCTTTTTGACCCTTTCTCATTCATCATTAGGTAAAAAAACAGAGAACTTACTTACACAATCAGAAAGGCACGCAATTTCTGAAATCACTATTTCCCTTCCTGTGCTCAAGTAAAACTATATGGGGGTCATCAATAAACACAGAAATGACCACCAACTTTCTCAATTTTGAAATCCCCACAAATGTTTGACTCTCTGGGAGGTTTAAGGTAGAAAACAAAATACATTAGCATTAATCAACTCTAATGATCTTTTAAAAGATAGAGTTAAATCATTGTAAGAATCACACTTGGGTCTACACTCCCTTTGTTGTGCAAGCATAAATACGTTACAGTAATAACCCTGCAAATATCCTGCCTTGTGATGAAGATGTCACCTTAATGCAGACTTTGTATTTTGTCTTCTATGAAGGTTTAAAGGTTAAAGACATCATAAATTATGCATTTCCTCCTATGCCAAGCCCAGGAAAGGTACTTTCACTGTTCATTAAAGATATTGCTTCTAAATGAGCAGAGGCTTTTCCCTAAATGTTGAAACAGAAACATTTCCATTATGTTTATTACTGCTATGCTGGAGAGCCAAAACAGTTTGGAATTAGGAAGCTGCTAGAATCCCTTGTTTCAGAATATGTAGCAACTGTCAACACACACAATAAAATCACAGTTCACTCTTTGGACAGTGGTACAGTTGTACCAGACCAACATGCTGGTCTCCTCCCAGGAGAACAATAGTCTGGCAAACCCCACATCATCAGCAACAGTTGGGGCTTTCCCCTTCTGCCTCTGCCCAAATTACAGATCTGAACAGGGACGGGGAGTCGCATGATTCACACTAGAACATCCCTTACTCCTGCACTGGAGCAAGCTCTTTGTGAGGGATGCTTGGGTAAACTGCGAGTTTGCCCCACACATCCTTCCTAGCCAGCACCCTAACTTCCTTTCTTGCGCTTTGCTACCACCTCCAGCTAAAGTACAGTTCTAAGAGATTCTTTTCCCTCCCCTTTACACTTACAGGTACTGCATCAGCAGAAGGCTGGGCTCATTTTCGAAAGGAGCACCACACCCATTAACCCTCTAGCCTTCAGAAGCAAATTGCAGTTTGGCTGGATCTACCTCTCTCCAACCTCAGGCCAAAGGAACCAAAGCTGGACACACAGGACCCAGCTTCTGCCAGGCCGACCACCCCCCAGCTCAGCACTTTGTCTGCCTGCGGGGGAGGATTCTGGAGACAGACTGCCTGCTATAAGGACCAGAGTTCCAGAGATTCTTTCCAGGGGATAGCCCGCACACCCTGACAACTAAGCGGCAAAGTTGTTTCTTCCTTCTCTGCTGCAATGCCCTTTCCTCTTCATCAGCTAGCGCGCGCACGCACGCACACACACACACACACACACAGGCGCGCGCATACACACACACACACACACGCACACAGCCTTGCTCCTCCAACTTACCAGTTTAGATTTGGCGCGTTGCAAAAATTCTTCCATGTCTTCGCGAGAGGTTTGGACTAGGGGTACCGGCGGGGCGCAGAGGAAGATCTCTGCCGGCGGAGAGGAGCGGGGTCTTAGGAAACTGGCCGGCCAGAGCGCAGCAACCGCTGCTCCCTCCTGCCGCTCCGAGGCGGCTGAGGCTGTGGCTGCGCCCTCGGCTGTCGCCTCCCAGGGCTCCCCGCCCCACCCTCGCGCCCCCGCCGCCGGCTCTGCGCGTCTGACTCTGCCCTAATAAGGAAAGTGGGTGTGCCGCCCGGGAGCCCCAGGGCGCGCCCCGCGCGCGCACTGGCACGCGCCTGCGGGGCCGAGGCTCGGGGCCCGGGCTCGGAGCCCAGGCGCGAGGGCGGGGGTGTTGGCGGATGGCGAGGGGCTCCTCCGCCAATCGCAGGGCCCCGCGGCGGCCTCCTGACGTGGCGCGCCGAAAGATGCTGCAACCATGGACAGCGCCCAGAAGTGCGAGCCAAGTGCAAGGGGCTGCTGCATAGGGAGGCTCTGCCGCAGGCACCGCCGCTATCCGCCAGGGGAGGTGGGAAGAGGGAGAGAGGGAAAAGAGGTCCCCGGAGAGCCCCCCTCCACAGCCAGCGCCTCCCTGGCGGGCTGGCACGTTACAGAGAGCTCCAGCGGTCACTTAATGAGCTAGGTCTGCGGGCCTGGCCAAGGGATGCACTCAGCTAGATTGGGGGTTGGAGGGTTATTGCTGAGCTAAAAGCAGTACGACCTTGATGGAAAATAATCATCAGAGCAGGCTGGGAGGTTGTGCTAGGACGCATCTTTCCTCCTTACCCTCAAAACACACCCACCCAGCAGCGGGCATCTGCAACTCACCCCGGCTAGTTGCCCTTATGTTGGCCCTGGGCTGAAGCATAGCTCTATCGTTCTGCAGTCCCCATCTGCTCCCTGACGTGCCTGCTCAGGGAGAGCTGGGGCCATAGAACCTTCCTACTGCATAAGGGTCTGTGTTTCTACAAGATCCTCAGATAATTTTTATGCACATTAAAGTTAAAGAAGTCCTGCAATAAACACTTAAATTTATAACTATGAACCTCATTTTAAGCCATGGAGTTTTGTTGGGTGTATTCTCCAGCCTTACCAAATCCCAGGACTCTTGGGCTTTCTCTCACATCTGGGCTATAATACCCTTCCTGCCCTCTCACCAGCCCTCACTGCCTGGCTAACTCATGCCTCAGCTGTCAGCTTAGAGAAGTGATCTCAACCTTGAATGCATGTTAAAATAACATTATAACACCCAGGGTTTTAAAAATACTGATTCCCAGGCTCTATCCCAGACCAACTGAATCAGTGTCTCTGGGAGAGGGGCCACAGCAACAGCGACAGTGTGAGAGTCCTCCAGGTGATTCTAATGTGCAGCCCAGGTATGATCCTCGGGTTCTCAAACTTTAGCGTATATCTGAACCACGCAGAGATCTACTAAAACACAGATTTTGGTGTCTCGTTCCCCAGGATTTCAGGGTTAGTAGGTCTGGCTTAACAGGCCTGAGAATTTCCATTTTTAAAAGTCTCCCAGGGTTTGCTGATGCTACATGCTACTTAGAAATTATCTTCCTCAGGAAGCACCCCCAACCCTGACCTACTCCTCCTTTTCCACCCCCACACCGAGTCAGTTGCCCTATCCCTGATCTCCTATGCAAACCTATATTTTCTATTCTACTGGAACCTACCCGATTACTTGTCTGTGTTCTCTACCAGGCTGTGAGCTCCATTAGAACAAGGACTTTGCCTGCCACATTCATTGATGAATATAAATATAAATCCTCAATAAATGTACTTTAATAACTAAATGTACATATGGAAGGTTTTTGGTACTGTGTGTGTGTGGGGGGGGTGAGATTATCCAATTATCCAATTATTTTTTTTATTCAGGAGGACCCAATGAGAAACCATCAGCAGAGTCTACAGATCCGATTAAAGGAGAGTGATAGGAATATTAAGTTCCAGTTTACATTCAGGTGATGAGCTGTGTGGAAGCTGCAGATTCTATCTGTTTCTTTGTTGACTTAAGTAATTTAAAACCATCCAGGTAAAACAAGTGTTTTGTCAGCCTTTAAATCAGGGAAGTTGATCACAATTCAAGTAACACTGTTGAGAAAAATTCCCCAGAATTTCTTGTCTCTGATTCCATCAAGGAATTTAGTGACAATCACATAATAGTTTTATTCTTTTGACTTTTGATTTTAAACATTCTGGGTAGGTATTATACAGCCTGGAGATTTAAAAAAAAAATCCTCATGGATTTAAATTCCAACATCTAAGAGTTTTTCCTCCATTAACAATGTCCCTACATAACAGTTCATCAAAATTTCTCTCCTCCAAGCGGACTTCTTGAACTGACCACTTGTATTAGAGACCACAAATTCAGTGACTTTGAGTAACTTGAGTTTATTTTACAGTTGTGTAGGTCAGAAGTCTGACACAGGTCTCACCAGGCTAAAACAAAGGTTTTAGGCCAACCAAGCTGCATTCTGCTGCATTCCTTTCTAGAGGCTCTTGGGCAGAATCTTGTTTTTTTTTTTTTTTTTTTTTTACCTTCCCCAGTTTCTAAAAGCAGCCCCATTCCTTGATTGGATGTACCTTCCTCTATCTTCAAAGCAAACAATGTTGCATCTTTCTGACTATTCTTCCATAGTCACCTTTCCCTCTGACTCTTCCTCTACTTCCCTTTAGGGACCCTTGTGATTACATTGGACCTATTTGGATAAAAAAGGATAATCTCCCTGTTTTAAGGTCAGTTGATAAGCAACTTTAATTCTTCTTTGCCATGTAGCTTAAGATATTCACAAGTTTTAAGGGTTAGATTGTAGGCATCTTTGGGAAGTCATAATCTGCATACCATACAACCCACACCCCAAGTTATTTGGTGGCTATCAGCTTTATCATTCCACAGCAGCCAGAAATCTATGCCTTTAACTCTAATTAGAAACTGTCAACCCTGGCTGCACAGTGGATTTGCCTGGGGTCTTTGAAAGATACTGACTGATGCTCCAGTCCCATCTCCAAAAAACCTGAACTGAGTTGTCTTGGGAGGAGTCCAGGCATCAGTATTTTTAAAAAGCTCATCAGATAATTCTCTGTATAGTCACACTTGGGAACCCCTGCTGATGCTAGGTAAATTTGCATTCCCCATCACCCAGGTACAAAATATGGAGTCCACTTTGATCTATAATTTTCTCCTACCCCTTGTGGCCAAATAGTTCCCAAGTCCAATGTCCTCATCCTTGGGAAAGGCCTCCATCAAATTCCCTACTTCTGATCCAAGTGCTATCAGCATAATTCAAGTATTTGCATCTAAACCTAAAGTCCATCCCTTTTCTTAATCACATCCTTTGCTCTTGTTAATAAAACAATCCTTTCCTTTACTCTTCTTTTCATTCTCAGGCTTCTTGACTCCTGGACTCCTCTCATTGAGATCCCTATCTGAGATCTCTTTATTTTATAATTAATTATCTTGAGTAGATTCATAGAATGGTTGTTATGGACTAAATCGTGTCTCCCAAAATTCGTATGTCAAAGCCCTAAACCCCAGTGTTATGGCATTAGGACACAGAGCCTTTGGACGGCAATTAGGTTTAGATGAGGTCAGAAGGGCAGAGTGCCCATGATGGGATTGGTGTCCTTATAAGAAGAGGAAGAAGGACTAGAGCTCTCATGCTTTCTCTCTCCCAATGTGAGGATATGGCAAGAAGGGGCTGTCCGCAAGCCAGGGGGAGGGTTCTTACCAGGAACCAAATCAGACAACACCTTGGTCTTGGACTTCCTGGCCTCCAGACCTGGGAAAAATAACTGTCTGTTGTTTCACCTGTTGATTTGTGGCATTTTGTTATAGCAGCCCAAGCACACTAATAAATGGTAGTGCTGGGAAAAGGAAGACTATAGGGATCATCTAATCTCATCCTCTTATTTTACTGTGCAAGTAACAAGGCCCAGAGTAGTTCAGTATCCTGCTTGGGCTAACAGAGCTCCTTTGAAGCAGAGCCAGGGCTAGAATTCAGCTGTTCATCATTCATTCCTTCAGCTTTACAGATCATCAACTACACTTAGGTGGGCATTATGCCTCACCTGTGATGTAAAAGGCAAGATCCTCGCTCTCAAGGAGTTCATGGTCTCCTCACTCTCATACAAAGATAAACCCAGTGATCAAGAAATGCACCTGGTATTGTACCAATGGAGACACAATACGGTGTCATGACTATAATCTGGATTCTCATCCTTGCTGTGGTAGATTAAACAAGGCTGCAAATTCTTTGACACTCCTCCCAATGACAGGTCAGGTCCATGTTCCTGTCTTTTAATCTAGAACTCTATGACTTCCTGAGCAATGACATATAGCAGAAATGACACCATGACAGTTTCTGGAACCAAGCCTTAAAAGAGATTGGCAGCTTCTACTTCTGGTCTCCTGGAATACACTCTTGGAACCTAACCAACATGCTATGAGGAAGCTCAAGCAGCTACATGGAGAGGCCCGCATGGAGAACAACTAAGTGCACTGGCTAGCAACCCAGTTGCCTGCCATGTGGGTGAGCCATCTTGAAATAGATTATCTAGCCCCAGACGAGCCATCCTTGCTGGTGTCATGTGGAATGGAGTTCGGCCCTCTCTGCTGAGTCCTGCCTAAATTACTGACCCACAAAACTGTGGAAGATAATAAGACAACTGTTACTATAAACCATGAAATTGCTAGGTAATTTTAGTCTTAGTACCGTTAGGTAAGTTATCCTCTCTAGGCTTCAGTGTCTTCCTCTATGATGCAATAACACATGCAAAGGGCCCCATTACTGGTCCACAGATGCTGTTACAGTCATCACAAAGCATCTGTCAAGGAGAGGAGAAACTTAATGAAGTAGCTAGAGGTGGAGACAAGGGTGTCCATGAGGAGAGCCCAACAAGAGGGAACTCTCTGGATGAACTGCAGATGGATCAGCAGTCACTAAAAATGTGGAACTGTTTTATTATATTATAGATACATAGTATATATTATATATAATACCTATAATACAACAGGTTATATTATAATTTGTGTCTATCCTACAGCAGCAGCACCTCCTAAAAGTGATGCTCCTTTGGCAATCAGGGCTTCACGCAATGACACGCCTATTTCAGAGAAAATCACTGCAGATACTCCAGCTAGTGATGCTTCTCTGCAATAAC